ATAGCGTCTGGGGTCTTAAAGGCTTGAAGGTAATCAAGCGGCCATCAAGCTCAGAAGCAACAAAGCCCACATGGAAGAAGCACACCAGCCTATGCAACCATCTTAAATATTATGTATTGCTAGAGTTGTATAAAACTATCATGTTGGAGAGGGGTGGTCTGGGGTAGTTACATAATTTCATGTCAACTTAAAGATATAAAAGTGTAGAGGTGGAGTCTAGCCTCTCAATCAGGCCCCAGCCTGATGGTACCTCCTGCTAGGCGTGGCCTTCCCAAAAGGAGGATCCTGGGAACTCTCTCTCTCTGCCTTCACCTTCCTATCGAAGGGCCATGCTGGGAGCTGTCAGAGCCCTGTGATGCTGCCACCACCATTGGATCCACAAGACTTTGCACCCACTGGCCAGTGATGTTCCTGCATTCTGCATCATTGCATGTGGTTGCATGGGTCTGGAGAGAGGATTATGAACTAGTATCAGACTTATGGACTAGCATTGGACTTAGGGACTTGATCTGGACTGGGATGTTTGCTTGATATAGAATTACTTCTTAATATAAAGCTCTCTCTTACAAACATGAGTTTCACTGGATTTGTTTCTCTAGTCAACTCTAACGCACACACTCCTGAGCATGCTGTCCTTCTCCAGGGACTAGTCTCTCCTGGGAAAGAGAGACCCATAACCTGACAGTGTGACATGAACTCCTGGATACAGCCATGCCTGAAACACCTGGCCTTGCCCTTCTCATACATCACCCCCTTTTAAAAACTTGGGCTATTCTCAGTAGCTTTTTCTCAATGGTTCTGGTCATTTGTAATAAAAAAAGTCCCAATTGGTACACTTCTTTGGTAATTCTTATTGATGAAAAAAACATTACCATAGGAAACACACTTTTTCCTGCACTATGATTATCTATTATTATTATTATTATTATTTTGTCAATAGAGATATAGCATAGACTCACGGGAGCATGGTACACCATCATTTTAAATGCAACATGACATGCAGCTCTGGAAGATCAACAAGAACCACACATGCCTAGCCCCACACCTCAGAGTGACTCAGGGAAGGAGTCCTTGCTCAGAGAGCAGAGCATAGATTTCTCCCCCTCATTTGTCCTCCCTCTTAGCTTAGACCCCTGAGGAAAAGGCTGGGGGCAGAGAAGTATTGGGGAAAGGCTTTTCTTTTCCTCCTCTTTTTATTTAACTTTTTATTAATTACTTTATGGGGGGCTCTTACAGATCGTACAACAACCCATCATTCAATTGTATCAAGCACACTTGTACATATGTTGTCATCATTTCCAAAACATTTTCTTTCTATTTGAGCCCTTGGGATCAGCTCCTCTTTTCTCCTCTCCCTCCCCCTCCCTCCCACCCTCCTGAATCCTTGATTCTATAGTGTTATTATTTCATATCTTACACCAGCCATTGTCTCCCTTCATCCACATTTCTATTGTCCATCCCTCTCGGGGTGTTATATAGCCAACCTTGTGATCAGTTCCCCCTCTCTTCCCCTCCCCGCCCTACCCCAGGGGGAAGGCTTCTTAAGGAAAGACTGGGGAGACCAGGATGAGCAAACCAAGAGAAGAGGGGAAGCTGATCCATGGGCACCTTCACTCGGAGAGCTAGGGGCTGCTGGGGCTGCTGCGGGCACCTGGCCTCCGTCCTGCTGAGGATACTTGGCAGAACCATGGAGAACAAACTGCAGACGTGTCCACCAGCTCCTGCCCCCTCTGCTCCAGGATCGCCCCAAATGTCAAGTCCTGACTCAGGGCTCAAGTAGGTGAGCTCCATGGGGCACACAGAAGGCAGACCCCAAAGGGAAAGGTGTGGGGGGCAGCAGAGACGCTGGCAGGCCACACGGGCACCCTGCTGTGTGCTCACCAGAGGAAAAGGCAAGGCCAAGGCCTGCAGCAGGAGCCTGGCTGCGGAGCACCTGGGGCTGGGAGCTCCCGGCTGGGGCTCCAGTCGAGAGGAATTCAGCCCAGCGCCCCTTCACAGACCAGCCCGCAGGGATGCAGGTGAGTTCTGGTGCGGGAGAAGAATCTGGAAAGGAGCAGGGACAGCCAACAGAACAAACAGATCCGTCTTGGAAGAAGGCTACCCAGAGTGCTCCGCAGAGAGGAGGAGGACAAGACTGCATCACTCGTCTTTCGGACACATGATCAGGACGGGCCGGTCCCTGGCGAAGGACACCATGCTTGGTAGAGTAGAGGGGCAGCGAAAAGAGAGGAAGACCCTTGGCGAGATGGACTGATACAGTGGCTGCCACCACGGGCCCCAACAGAAGCCTGATGGTGGGGGTGGTGTCTCGTGCTGCTGTGCTTTGGGTCGTTGTGAGTCAGAACCCACTCTAGTGTCTAGCAACAACGGGACCTTCCTGCCCCCATTAGCCTTCACTGACCCTCCATGAGAACGGAAGGCATTGCCGTGGAATACCCTTGAGACTGTCTGTGGTGGTTAGATTTTACGTCAACTTTGATGGCACTGTGTGTGTGGGGGGGGTGTTGAGTCCAACCTATCAGATGGTAGCCTGGTGATGCCCCCTTGGGGTGTGTGGCTTTTTATGAGGCACTGAGAACCTCTCTCTTCCCCTTTGCCTGCTGCTTGCTTGGGTTCTGTGTCTGCCTCCAGGGGAGGTGGCCCCACGTGGGCCAACCCCCCACCCCCGGAGCTTCTGTGGGATCCCTACCATTTCCCACTCCCTCGGATCCATGTAACTCTGCCCCCACCAGCCAGTGATGTCCCTGCATTCTGCACCCCCTTCCTGCAGCTAAGCAGGTCTGCAGAGGGCACTGGTGAGCATCAGACCCACAGACTTGAGTCACACGGGGCTGGGGTGCCTTCTTGATATAAAATTACTTCTTGATATAAAGTTTTCGTATTCATACACGACTGCACCATCCATTCCTGGAAACAGGCGTAGGAAGCATGGCAGCTCAGCCAGTAAGGCAGAAAGAAAATGGGAAGGGGGAGGATGACCACAAAAAATGCTGGTTCTCATGACAGTGGGAAGTCAAATTGCCCTTGACTTTGGCAAAGTAGAAAGAGCATATGTTTCTGAAGCAAACCAAGCACGCTTTGAATCCTGGCTCTGCTCCTTGACGCTGTCGGTCAACCTCCTGGAGACTGTTTCCTCGTTTGTAAAAATGGGATGGTAACAGTGGGTTCCCGGGGTTGTTGTGGCTTTAGAAACAACGCGTGTGACTGACCCAGCACACGGTATGGCGTGTACGAGAGAGAGGGGGAGAGAGGAAAGGAAGAGGGAAGAAATTATCGATTCTAAGCCAAATGGTAAGATTTACAGCACAGAAACGTCTCACTGACATTATCTTAGAAAATAGTACAAGGAAAAAGAGAACTCTTCTAAGCAGGCATGTTGGCACCTGGACCTCAACACACAGATCTAGGGTCTTTCACCTGAACTGCGATGGATTGAACTACCTCCCACCCTCAAAACAAAAACACATGTCACACTGTGGTGCCTTGGGTGTGGCTGGGATGCTGGAAGCCCCGTCACTGGTATTTCAAATGCCAGCAGGGCCACCCAACACGAGCATGTTTTAGCAGAGCTCCCAGACAGAGCTGACCCTACACGACAGGGTAGAACTGCCCCTGTGAGTTTCTGAGACGGCCATTCTCATGAAGCAGCTGATGGTCTCAAACCGACGACCTTGTGGTTAGCAGCCCAAGGCGTAACTGCTATACCACCAGGGCTCCTTTTTGGAAGCATAAAAGAGATTTAAGCAGAGATTGGAGGGAGCTCCTATCACCACCAAGACAGAAGAGCTGGGAGTACAGGGCATCCTTTGGACCCAGGGTCTCTGAGCTGAGAACCTCCTAGACGCAAGGAAGGTTGATGCCAAGACCCATGGAGCTTCTCCAAGGACACTGGGGCCCACAGATGCTGAGGCAAAGACCTCCCTCAGGGAGAGAGAGAGAGAGAGAGAGAGAAGGAGGAGGAGGAGGAGGAGGAGGAGAGAGAGCGAGCCTTGCCCTAACGTGAGCATCCTGGATTGGAATTTCCAGCCTCCTTAACAGTGAGAGAATGAATTAATTCCCAGTGGGGAAAGCCATCCACTGTGGTCTTTGCTACTGCATCACTAGACAGCTGGGCCAGGCCAGGCCAGGCCAGGCCAATGCACCCTTGGAGGCAGAGTGGGCGCCCTTCCTTTGTGTGCTTAGGATGGGGAGCCAAGCTTTGGCCACTCGGGTCACATAAGAGTCTCAAATTAGGGTTCCAGCCCAAGACTCTCCTCCCCCCCCAGTCATCTCCAGGTCACTCTGCTTTGGGGACATAGTGACAATGGCTCTTGACAAGAGGAGCATGCTCCTGGAGAAGGAGGGGTCCCGCCTCCTTCTGGGTCCTGTTCACCTTGCCCTGGGCCAAGCCTGTCTGGGTTCCCAAGAACACCAGGCCTCTAAGCCCTAGGGCTGGGGAGACTGGTCTGAACACACAGAATCAAGTCCCTTCTCTGAGGAGCTTGGGAAAGATCACTCCTTTTTATTTTTCAGGCATAGTCCCTGCAGCTGTTCCTTCGGCTGGTTTCCCTGGCAACCAAGGAGGATGCCCGGAGGAGCTCTCAGAGAGTAGGTACAGGTTGCTTCTTTCCTTTCTGCATCCGCATCCTCGGGCCGAGGCCTGTGGTCAGGAATAGTCAGGATGCCTGCACTCTGCAAAGACTCACCGTAAACACTTCCTGGTTCTCCCGACTGTTTATTGGGGAGGGGGGGGAGGGGGTGTGTGTGGAGGGAGGTGGCCCGGTTGGAACGGAGCTCAAGGAATCTAGCACAGCCCCAGAGAGGGGCAAGGGACAGCTCTTGTTCAGGGGTCAGCTCTCGCCAGGTGTCCTCTGGGCAAGAGGCTCATCCACTCCTGAAGCCTCAGAGTGAACGCCCTGGCCCTTCATGGCTGGCTGGCCCTCTGTCCCCAGGTCAATGGTCATCCCCCTGGAGCTGGCTGCTGGGCTCCAGGGGCCGGGAGAAGAGCGGGTTGGCTGCCACCTGGGACTTGCCCTCCAGCACCTGCCGGACTCTCTGCATACCTGGGGAGGGGAGAGAGGGACAGATGGGTGGGACTGTTGGGGCCCGGGTCAGGCCAGAGCAGGGAGGGTAGAATGGAGGTGGGGTGAGGGACTGGGCTGCTTACCCAGGCAAAGCCGATGGGCCTTGTCTGAGAAGATGAAGCGGAACCAGCCGGGTTCTTTGCATTTGAAGGCCTTGCCAAAGGACAGCAGCACTTTGTTGCCCAAAAAGCGGCGCCAGAGCAGCATTTCTTCCTCAAACGTGCCCTTGGGCAGGTACTGCAGGACGTTAGGGGCTCAGGGCCAAGCAGGGAGACCCAGGCAGACTCCAGCCCACCCCTGCCTCCCGCCTGCTGGGTGGACACTTAAGAGTGTCTCCCAGCCTCCACAGCACCTTCAGTACCTTCCTGAGGTCAGCCCAGATGCAGAAGCCTGCCCCACACTGCAGAAAGGGGACCCCCAAGGCCCTGAGCTCCTCGGAGACGTAGGCATGAGCCGCCTTGAGCCGGGCGTGGTTTTCTGGCAGGTACACTCCATTGATCCACTCTGTATGGGCACAGGGGAAGCCAAGAAAGAACTCTCCCAGCAATCCTCCGCTGGGCTAGTCCAACAGCCAAAAGGAAGGTCACAGGCCTCCAAGTCTGAGTCAGCTCCTCTGAGGCCCTGGTGGAGCAGTGGGTTAAACATTAAGCTGCTAATCGCAAGGATGGTGGTTCAAGCCCATTAACCACCCTGGGGGAGAAAGAGGTGGCTGTCTGCATCAGTAAGCATGTAGGGCCTTGAGAACCCCCTGTGACATTTCTACTCTGTCCCTTGGACCGCTATGACTCTGAATCAACTTGACGGCAGTGGACCGTGGTTGGGTTGGGTTGGGTGGTGAGGTGGTTAAGAGTTCAGCTGCTCAAGCACAAAAGGACAAGTATAACATGCGTCTGCTGAGGTGAGCTTAAAAATGCAAAAGGGGCATAGGGAAAAATCTGCCGTGTATGTACATTCCTGGGCTGAGGTCAAGTACTGTGGCAGAGGCCAGACCAAATCCAGGGATACATATGGTAGCCAACTAAAAAAGGGGGGTGGGGGAGACATGGGTATCAGGGGAACAGGGCACTAACTCACCCAAGGGGAGGGTGTTGTTTATATCTCCACAGGGAAAGAGGGACCAGACTTCAACCCAGTGCTCCAAGATGTGAATGCAACATCCCGGCATGAAGCAAGGAACCAACGGAGAGGTCTGAGTGTCCCGTCCCAATCCCTACTAAGTGGACAGCACCCCCCACCCACTCCCAGAAGAATTTACTTCAGAGGACAGCACTGAATCTGCAGCTCAGGGAGAGGGACATGTCTGATCAGAGCACACAGGAGCAAATGAAGGGGGAGGAAGAGAGAGTGGAGCACATCCTGGCTCCGAGGACAATATTCCTGCTCACAGCAGCCAATTCACAGAGAGGACCTTAGGGCTGGCCCCACTACAAGACACGACGTCCCTCACTGACCCATAGTGCTTCGGGGAACAACACTGAAGACACAGTGCAGGAATTGTGCCCGATCTGACTCCACCACACTGAGAAGAAACACTAAGGACCTGCAACAGAACAGCAAGGGGAGCAGAGCAATGAAGTCCCCTGGGGAATATCAAAAATAGACTTGGAGGCCAGGGTGTGGCACCCATCAGACTCAACTGGAAATAGACCCTGAACTATTTACAGGCTTTTCTTTTTCTGTCATTGATTTTTGTTGTTGTTGTTTTCTTCTGTTGCTCTGTTTTGCTCTGTCTTTGTTTTGTGCATATTATTATCTCTGCATGTCTATCTAGATAAAATAGGTGGTAGAAACAATCTGGAGGAGAAAACAATGGGACCGATAGTTTCGATAGTTCCGGGGAGAGGTGGAGGCAGAGGAAAGGAAGTGGGTGTTAACAAACCCAGGGACAAAGGAACAACAAGTGATCCAAAATAGATGGTGAGGAAGGTGTAGGAGGCCTGGTAGGGCTTGATCAAGGGCAATTTGAAACCCAAATGAAGGCTCAACATGATAGTGGGACAAGAGGAAAGAAAAAGGAAATAGAGGAAAGAACTAGGAGGCAAAGGCCATTTATAGAGGTCTAAATACAGGAATGTACATATGTAAATATATTTATATATGATGATGGAGATATAGATCTATGTGCATATATTTATAGGTTTAGTATTAAGGTAGCAGATGGACATTGCACATCCACTCAAGTACTCCCTTAATGCAAGAGCACTTTGTTCTATTAAACTGGCATTCCATGATGCTCACCTTCCTGACACAACCGCTGAAGACAAATGGGTGCATAAGCAAATGTGGTGAAGAAAGCTGATGTTGCCCAGCTATCAAAAGATATAGCCTCTGGGGTCTTAATGGGTTGAAGATAAACAAGTGGCCATCTAGTTGAGAAGCAACAAAGCCCACCTGGAAGAAGCACATCAGCCTGTGTGATCACAAGGTGTCGAAGGGATCAGGTATCAGGCATCAAAGAACAAAAAATCATATCATTGTGAATGAGAGGGAGTGCAGAGTGGGAAC